ATAATAATAATAATAGTCCTACATCAGTGAAAGTGAAAAGTGAAAGTAGTCTATCTCCATCAGTGTATGATTGTCTGATTAATTGACACTATGAAGTAATATGTGCAACTTCCCTTTCAATTATTCTGACATCGCCACAGCTTAGTCAGGATTTTCCAAGCATGTGGAAGAAGCACAAATTGGCCCCTTTAGGTATTTTAATCAGTATGCTGGCATACAAATAAGTTGCAAAGCATTACTTTTAGAAATTTTTATCCCTCAAAATACTCTGAAAAGACTCAACATAAACCCCAGTATTAAAGTTATTTGTGAATTTAAACTCATAGCTGCTCAGAATATATATCAACTTGACAGTAAACATAAACCTATTATTAGTGTGATAAATAGCTTTTCAGATAATTGTATCCTTTATCTGTTGATGTAACTCATAGTATGCAGTAAAAAGCAGAACTGATCAAGAAGTTTGAGATGAAGTTATACAGACGGACTCCAGTCTAGTGTGCTAGTCGTGACTCTATTTTGTTCATCAAAACAATGTATAATTTGTTCAGTGTTCAGCATTATCATCTTCTATGTATATATATATTGTCTGTTATAGCTGTGTTCAGCCACAGGTTTTATGTATAATATGTAGGGAATCAAGCTAAATAAAAATCCATCTAGTGAGATGAGGTACAGCAGAAAAAGGTTCAGTCGATGTGAGGAAAGAGACGTCATCTGTGCATGTGCCTCAAATTTCAACACAAAGCTATAGTACCTGATTGTGTTTACACTGTCACTGATTTATTAAGGTCAGCTCTATTTCTATATTGCTTGGCCAGTAAGGAATAAACAATATTCGATGTCAATGTATTCAATGTTTGTTTCTTTAAGCCATTGTGTATACAGGCAGGGGGAGGGGTGTGGACATACGTCTTTTCAATAGACCGTGGTAATAATGGACCTGTGACCTCACGGTCTGAGAAGCCAGAAGCAAAACCTGAACTTTATCAAAACTGCCGCAATGGGTAGCCAACAAGACAGCTCTAAGTAAAGCAGAGGTTTAATTGTCCTGATTTGTGTTTGAAGTTGGTTTCTTTTTCAAATATGACTTTCATAAAAACTGTTTCTGAGCGACTGAGACTCAGTCACTTCCTAATTCAGCTCATCCTTGTTGTAGCTGCTATGAATGAAACTTGCTGATCTTTGGCTGACAACTGCTGCCTGACACAGAGGACTGAAACGCAAACACAGATAAAGCAGTAAGAAGCACAAGATGGCACGAGACGGTCACGTATTTCTCTGTGTTTTGTTTTTATTGCAAACAAATATAATACAAAAGATAAGCTTTTAAGACAATGCCATGTTTACCTAGGGAAACTGCATTAGGGAGATGACAAAATGACAACTAATGATACAGAATATAAAAGGAGGAACACAACTTTTTTTTTTTCAAAAACAAAAAGTATCCTGTTGATTCCAGCAAATTCTTTACAAAACAGCGGCTTTCATATCCATTAAGTCATTTGTTAGAAAGAAATAAAGAGAGGAAACGTCCAGTTTTTCTTTATCTTTTAGAGAAAGATTCATCATGTAATTATAAGTATTCTGTACATAACTAGATCAGAAATAAAAGAAACTTTTATACGGAAACATTTACAAATGATAAATAAACAAAATGTACCACATATGACAGCAACCTATTTCAACTCAGTTAGCTGCTGCTAAATTAAAAAGATAATTGCAAATATTTATTTTCAAATAAAATTAATGCTAAAGAATAAATTAAGAAAAAGGTTAGGAAAAAGGATGAGGCGGAAGGAATGATAGAAGCACACCAGCCTCGGACCTGATGGCAGCTGAGAAGAATCAGGTCAAAGGTTTTCCTGCAGGAAATCAGAACTATGCTGTAGTTTTCACACTGCGATGCCAGTGGATGAAGCCCCACTGCTGCGGCTCCAGAGGCACCAACGGTATCAAGGCAGATACTCAGATAAAAGCAAGCATTGCTGTTACATCTAGCAACACAGTAAGGCCCCTAGAAGAGTTACATGGCACCTGTTATAGCGTTTTCAACACAATAATTTGAGCTAAAGCAAACAAGAAGTAGAATATTTGACTAATTCACCGATGACACAGTCATATCATGGCCAAAATTCTAATCTATTTCAAACCTGCATTGCTCAATAATTGCATCTCATGGGAATTACAATAAAAATATGTACAGTACAAAAATTCAATGCAGAATGTATTATGAGACGGCAGTGTCAGTAAACACAATTCTTACTTCCTGTACAAAAATACATTAGTGAGAAGTAAGGCCACTGAGGGTGTTTTTACCCAGCATTCCTGCTCCTTTAGATGAGGTAAACCTTCAAATCATGACGATGAGGATGCTGATGACACTGATTATGATGATAATGACAAGAGCAGAACACATACACAGTACATACTAATATATTTATAGCCAGTATGTCCTCACAGAGGATTTAACTTTTTTAAACATTATATCTAAAAAAATATAATCACAATTCCAACCAATACAAAAGGCACTGTTGTGAGCCAATCCAAAGATATATTTTCAGAACTATAAAAAAGTTCTTGTCATGTTTTTCTGTTGGCAATGAAGGATGTGTGGCATGGTGGTGAAAAGACCACCGGGCAGAAAAAAGTCTGTGATGGGTGTTATACAGTCAGTGCTGGGACTGCCTACTCAGGGCCTGGACAGTTGTGTGTAAATGGGCTGCTGCTCCCAATGCTGTGGACTGTGGGTCTGCGGCACAGACGGCACCCCGGTGGTGTCAGCAATTGGGGTGTACATCGGCCTCTGGCTGGGACTCATGTAGCTGAAGGTGGAGTACAGGCTGGAGCCTTGGCCAGCTGCATGGCTGTAGTAGGAGTTGGCACCACTTTGGTGGTCTGAATAGTCATACTGTGCTCTCGTGATGGAGGGGTAAGAGGAGGTGCTGTAGTGCTGTAGGTTGAAGGACCCGTAGGTGACATGCTGCGGGGAGCCCTGCTGCTCGCTGTAGTGGCTGGGGCTCAGCTGCTCGGTCTTTATCTGGGTGGTTCTCTGTTGTCCCTGCTGGCCTTGCTCTCCTCCTCCACCCAGGGTGGTTAGAGAGTGCTGCTGCTGCTGCTGCTTGGACATCCAGGCGTGGGCTCCAACACTGGCAGCCTGACTGACGGAGGAGCTGTTGATGCCGTAGCTGCTGGTGTAGCCTGCCTGGGCTGCACCAGCCACTCCAGCGTGGCTGTGAGGTGGCAGGTACTGATCAAACTCATCAACATCGAAGCTTCCCATGTTGGAGATGACTTCACTGCTCAGCTCACCAATGTCCACAGCACCAAAGTCGATGTTTAGCTGGCGACTAGTGCCCTCCTGCATGGGGCGCCCTTCACGTTTCAGGTCAGCCTTGCTGGAGGGGAGGTCTGTCTTAGGGGTGGTTGGAGGGGTTGGTGGGCCCTGTGACTGACCTGGTTAGAGGAAGGCAAAATTAGACTCATTTACAAATGCATGCATGTGAGAAAATATTTCTTGAATGCAATATATCAGTGTAAATGTAAATGCTTTCAGGAGAGCTATATTGGTACAGACAGGTGTATTGACAGGGTGGCTTGTAAAATCCACTAATCATTAACCAATAATCATTAACAGTTGTCTGTTCAAGGCCCCAAAGGCCTCGAACAATTTGATTTCCTTAAACAGTGCCAAAGTGCCGCCTTTGCAGAAAAAGAATAAATAAACCAGAGAACATGTGTGATGTTTCTACTTTGATTTTGTTTTTTTTCCAGCCCCTTATCTCACCTGAATGTTCTCCTGGAGAGTGCACCTCTCCCATACTGGACGCTGGAGAGTCGGCCTGCTGCAGCGCCTTGAAGATCGCATTTGGAGAGATGTGGGTTTGCTCGCCGTCCTCGGATTCACTCTGTCCGTTCTTGACTGATTTTCTCCGCCTTGGCTGATATTTGTAATCGGGGTGATCCTTCTTATGTTGCACTCTCAAACGCTCAGCCTCCTCTACAAACGGGCGCTTCTCTACCTCATTGAGTAATCTGAAAATATCACAGAGTTGTACATTTCTGTTAAAATGGCATTAATTAACTAATGCAAGAGATCATTTTACTGAAACATTGCAGTCGTTAATTTCTGTCAACAATCACCATGAAACGGCGACAAAGTTGGTAAATTTTAAATCTATACAACTTCTTTTGTACAAACTGAAACAAGTGGATCTAAAATCACAATAAAAATAGGAGGGAGGGAAGTTAAAAAAAAAAAAAGTCTCCACACTGCAAAGCTCTACTTGTAGCTGCTCGCATGGGGTGCAAGAAATAGTGTACTGCTTTCAGTTGCGCGTAAAAGCGCACTGCAAAAGTGAATCGAAATTCAACCTACCTCCAAAGTTTACCCAGGGTTTTACTGAGTTCCGCGTTGTGCAGATGCGGGTATTGATCGGCCAGCTTCCTCCGTGCAGCCTGAGCCCACACCATGAACGCGTTCATGGGTCTTTTGACATGAGGTTTGCTTTTGCTTGAGCCGTTGACGCGCACCGGCATGGGCACCAGCGTCCAGTCGTAACCCTTCAACACCTGGGACACGGCATCTCTGATGCACACGGGGAACTTTTCTTCTTCGCCCTCCTTCTTGTAGTCTGGACCCCGCAGGAGGTGGTTGTCGGACGGCCGGGTGTTTTCAGTGTCCGAACCGGACCCGGACGGGCACGGCGAGCCCGCGGAGTCCTCGGACATGCTGGGGCTGGGAGCGTCAGAGTGACACTTCTCCTGTTCTTCTGTCATCTTCAGGTAAGGGTCGAGGAGATTCATGCGAAAAAATTAAAGAACCGCTTCTCGCAGTAAAAAAAAAAGGAGAAAATCCTTCTTTCTAAATCCAAATTATGTGCCCAAAGACTGCAGTGACAGCCTGTGAGGGCGCACAGCTTGACTGGCAAACTTGAATCCCTTCAAGTAAAAAATGACCCAAAAACATTAAAAATGTCGCTCCTTCGACTTTTTACAGTTTCGCAGACAGGAAAGCAAATCGCAAGTGACTGCTTTCCAATGCTTAACTTTGAAATTTCGACTTTAAGGAGAAATGTGACTGAGAGGTCTACTGTTGGAGGTTTGCTGAAGAGTCTAGAGACACAGGAGGCGATGCCTCGATTTATGTTTGACGGCAAGGACCTGATTGGAGGAAACTTTTAGTGGGCGGGGACGTAATTTGACTCTGCTCTGAAGAACTCTTGCAGTCAACAACAGTGAAAACCCAGTAAGGGGGAAAAAGAAGTTTTTTCTCTTTGTTATCTTATTTTATTTTAGTTATAACTTCACAAAGTTGAAGCTAACAAATAAGTCATAACTGAAGTAATGAAAAGCATTTGAACCTTACTTTGGTGTCAGAGTCAGGGGGAAATTCTAGTTCCATCATTCTCTTCCCTTTTTTTGAAATCATAGACACAAGTGTGTTTTCATCACAGTATTATTATAATTTTCATTAGGACAGGTAACAGTTGAACTTCCTTTTGCATTATTTCACTTTGATATAGAATGTATTTATTTAAAAGAATATCTAAATATCATGTTTACTTGCATGTGTGTTCATTTTTTTTACTAGCTTCACAAATGTCATATTTTATGTATGTTATGTTGCAACACACAGGTTTTACATGCTGAATATGTGAGTGCCCAATTTTGAATTTGTGAATGTTGTTTTACCAAATGCATGCATCCTGTTGACTGAGTGATTTTTTTGAGAGCAGTACTCACCTCTATGAGAGGCTACTGGCTGTTGTTTAGGAAGTTAGAGAAGATTAGTGTTTTTAGGAATATCTTCAGATTTTTTCATTTTTTATTTTTTTAGAACAATTGCAGTGATGTTTATGTGTGTTTGAATGAATGAGGCAGTTACTGTCTAAGATGTGCGTTGCACAGAAACAGCTTTGTCACAGAGTCTCTGCAGTGCTGCTGCTGCGGAGCTGCAACTATCAACCATGGCAGCGCTGCACAATGAGCACATGGACCAATAGGGGGAGACAGCAGTCCAGAAACTTGAGAAGAAGCTGTGTAATTTTGCTGGGGCTGCAATCATTAAAATAAAGCAAGAGGGTATTATAAAACAGAGCCTATTCAATTTCAGCTTGAAGTCTAAATGTATATTTTAACTTCCTTCTGGCAGACAATTATTGTTCCAAAGCAGGTGACAGTCCAGAATACAAAACAAATCAGGTATCAATGAAAATGTTTCCTATCAAACAGACTCGGCACGGGACATGACTGTATTTCCCATTTCGTTTAGAATATTTTCCCCTGACAGGAAACAAGGTGTTCTTTAAGCTAGAAAGATTATTCTGTGACAATGACTAGTGATATTTTTATATCCTGTATGCAGACCACACGTTTAAAATAGCTTTCTGTCAATATATAGACCTAGATTGAAAAGAATAACAACAACAACAACAACAATATACGTAGTAACATTTCCAATGTTATGCTCCCATTAATAAATATTCCATTTCTTCAGTGGAGACAGGCCATTTTAAAGAGTGAAAAATGTGTCGTAACAATAAAATCTACTTGGCTGGATTTGCGCCAACACTTGTTTTTGGTGGACAAAGGACACTTTGTTGGTGAGAGTTCAGTCCCTATAATCCGTGTATTCAATTTTAGAAACCAAAATCCCAAAGTTTACTATTTTGATCACGACTTTCTGATTTACAAATAAATGAAGTGATTTGTGAATTCATCAGTTGACAAGAATAAATCTGTATCGAAAATATATCTACAGGCGCAGACAACAGATGCTTTTTAAATCGGGAATACTTGTTGTCTTATGTCTTTTAATGAATAAGGTGAAGTCAGGTGATTTTTTTTCCCTACAGCAGGTCAAACAAAGACAAAAACTGGTTATAATACAGGTAGAACATTTTCTAAACTGCATACAATTGAGATGACAATTGGCTAAAATGGACTGCAGATATAAAGCTAATATTCCAAATATGCTCAAAAAGCCTTTTTCATATTTTATAAAGAATGTCAAAACATTTAGTTTGCAGTGGGCTGTTTGTTCAGCAAGCTTAAAAATGAACATTTGCCATTAACATTGTCTTTCCCGATACATCATGTATTGGTTTAAGGTTTTCTGTCATGGTCCTATTATTTCCATTAAAAAGCGAAGCTAATTTGCCTGTCAGGTGTGCTTCTTGCCATATTGGTTGGCTGGAAGCTGTGGCAAACTGCCTTCTCAGCTCTTTTTTTTACAACTAAATGACGAATAATTCAGAAATGCTGTTCTTCCAAATTTCATGTTAGGGGGAACCAGCGGGGATAGGATAGTTGAAGTTGTTTTTGTTTCAGCACGACTTGATCGGTGTAATTATGCTGATTTTATAACACTTTAAAGTAACATGATTCTCTGTACTTGGGCTGAAAAACCTTAAGCCCTTCCCTCAGTATATCTTTTGAATTGCAGCTCTGACAGTCAATACTCTTACACTTTTGCTTGCATTTATGTCTTTTCTAGCACAAACACACTACAGTGTAATTTGATGATGAATATTTGATGTAGTTTTCTGTTTTTAAATGGACATGGTGTGTTGTGGGTGGTGTAACAAGAGCTGCTGCCATTTGAAAGTTTTCAGTTTGTGAGGCAACTGGTCTCAACACGCAGAGGAGCAAACCTTGTGATGGCTAACACGGAGGCATCAGAGGTGTGGTTGGGCATGTTCGCGCCCTCGCAGTGCTGACTGCAGAGGGTTTGAGGAGCCTTGCAAACTCCCTTACAGTCGATCAGGGAGGGGAGACCATAGATCCTCAGGGGCCAGGCTCACAGCGTACATGGAACACCCGCCTTCAAGCCGAGCAGGTCTTGGGAAACTTCTCAGCTTGACTTTGAGCCATGGCGTCAAAATTTTGAGGCAAACACTGGGGGTAAACTGCCAAATCATGTCTTCCACCTCACCTCGCTCTCTCAGATTCCACTGCAAATGTTTGAGCAGACCGCCCCTTTTTTGCGTAAAGTTTTAGTGTCATATGTATGTCGATATGTTAGTGGAGTGGGTGTAAGTCTTTGTGTTGTTGCCTTTGAAGTATGTTGGACAAATAAGGAAGGATAGAAAAGAATAGAAAAATCATAAATATAGCAAGTGTTTGATGTTTTGTTGTTCAGATTGTTGGTGTTTCTGGATGACAAACCAGTTCCCTTCTATTGTTTAATAAAGATTTTAACCATTGAAATATGACATCAGTATGAGTTGTGTGAGATGAGTCAGCAATCTTGCAGTATCTTCAGGTATTAACACACCAATGTGTTTAAATCATCTGTTCTGAGATCCAAGATTTTAGAAGGTGATAAATATGGCTGAGATAGAGGAGGCAGAAGTGGCTTCAACCACTCATAACTAACATAACACCTGTATGATACTTTCCACAACTAGTACCAACTGCCCCAGACATGGCAGAAGACTGCAAGAGGCAGAGCTGAGAAAATCCTCTTGGCGAACCATCTGAACTTTCCTTCCGGGTGCTTCCACTCGTAGTTTCTCTGTGTTCATTCTTGAAAAATTATGTCTGAAACATATCGGCTGCATTGCCCACTGTCAAAGGTGGTCTCATAGAGATGGATGGGCTGGCTCAGGTGTTTGCTTTACCAGATCAGGGCACTTTGGCCACGGGCAACTGTTGACATTTAGCATTTTGCAAAGGGTAACGTTTAAATAGGACTTATCAAGACCCCGCCACCTTTAGAAGGATCGGGCCGATATTCCCTGCTCTGACTCTCTCACACCTCCATGACATCCCACACAGAACCACAACATCTCCAGGTGATTTCACCAGAAAGCATGCAGACACTTGGAAAAAAAAGAAGCAGAATAGTTTTCTTGTAAATACTTGGAAGTAGATTCACTCATTCAGAGATTCATTCAACATTGTTGAGAAATACCATTCTATTATACTTGTATCTTTGGTACAATGCAACTGTAAAGCACTGATTACAAATTAAACTCTACTTAACCACGCAGTCATTTATTCACCTGGAGGTTGTCACCTCAATCATTAGGTCAAATAAGATAACATATTAGATAGCTTGGCTGTGTTGCTTAGGAAATACATTCCAAACTGAGAAACAGATGTATTCTGGCCTTCACCCTGTGTCCAGCAGTATGTGGTAATTACTGCTGCACACTTTGTTGCATATCTGCTCCTTTCTCTCTCCTCCTTATGAGATAGTGCCACTGTAATCTCAGCGTTATCGGCTCTTGGCTTCGACTAAACCGGATTCACCTTGGGCACTCATTGATAGTGTATCTGCAGGGAAGGAAACGCACTCTGATCTGGGAATACAGTGGAACCAATAGTACTTGATAAACACAAGCAGAGTTGGATAGGTGCCACCATTGAGCCACAGTTTCATGTTATCATTAAACAAAAACAAAAAAACAATGCGAAAGGTATTGGCATAAACAACAAAACAAATAAATAAATAAATAGAACACTGACTCAGTTATTTTAAAAATGTCAGATAATGGTATTCTAATTCTCTTAAAACCTCAAGACACTGCTCACATTAAATAAAATCCACCTTCCAGGCTTTCTGACAACACACCTGAAAAGAACATCCAAAATTGAACTTTGCTGAGTGACTTCGAGGTACCTTCCATGCCTTCAGGTGAAGTGGCCTCAGAGTCAGTTTAAATGACAATGAGACGCTGTAAGAGCAGAGTGTGATCTCTGTAGGTCACGGCCCTCCATTTCCAATAATAGGGCCTGACCTGTAATTATGTCTGAATAACAATAGCTCATTCTCAAAGTGCTGACAAAATGTTCGGACACTGCCTAAGTCCTTGTAAAGGCTAATAATGTGCTTGCGCTCCTCGACGGGGGTCCTCTCCACAGCGAGCAGGTGACAGTCACACAGGGGGATCCACATGGCCACCTTGTGACACCCTGATCTACCACCTGAGCCACAGCCACCTACAAATAATAAGAAATAATAAATACATTTAGAATAACGCTTGTCTTGAAATGTACTTATAAGTTTGACTTTGCTTTAAAAAAAAATATATAGACATGGATTTTTAAGCAATCAAACACACCCTTGCTTGCCTTTTCTTATCTGCTATGACGAGCGGATTATGGTTGCAA